TTTTTTCAGATTTTTTCTTAGGGTAACGATAGTTACATTCAACAAAGATGTTTGCCCGAAAAGCGAAATCATCGGATTTGATGGGGAGTTTGCAACGATTTACGGATATGACGAGGTATAATTTACACATTACTGTTGTTAGGAGAGTGATGTGCCCTGGGTCAATCATTAAATACCGTGTATTTTCCATAGTATATCAATATCATATCGATCTCATTACTGTTACGTTTATCTGAGTAAAATTATCATAATCATATCAGTGGTTGGAAATCTTAGTTGATAATTTGGGTGAATAATCTGTCAGAAAATACTACTGAATTTCTTTTCTTTAATGAAGGGGAAGGTTCTACCTATTCTTGTTGGCAGCTCTTACAATTCCTAATTTACTTTTTAAATGCATGTTCAATGTAGAGAATAATCAAAACAATCATCTTAAATTCAGAGACAGCGTTAGTCGAGTGAAACATCTCAAAATTCTTTTGGACTCGCTCTCGCCTCAAGTAAGGATAAAGCTCAGCTTTTCTTTCGGTTTGACAGTTCTGAGCCTTTCCTGTTTAAGGAAAAACGCCAATTAATAGAAGATCATAGCTTTGAAACTTTCCACCTAGTGGATGAGCTACTTTTGTTAGCTGATAACGTTGCAAATCCTCAAGGCGCCGTAGAAGGAGAAAGTGGTTTGTGGACACTTGAACAAATTCTCTGTTTTGCCCCAGAACTTGTTGGAAACGGTGGGTTTTTTAATCTTAGTATTTGTGCGCAGTTACATTCTACTTTTTTTATAATGTCAGAAAGCGCGGAAGTTACGAAGTTAGAATGAGCTTTTCAGGTTGGCAGAGACATGCTATTGAAGCGCTACTGAAAAAAGCCATCTATCCAAGGAATCTTTTGGCTATCCGCAAAATTGCAATCAGATTATTTCTAATATTTTATCAGAGCCTCAGTATATATGGAAAGGCAGGCACTCATCGTTCACTTACTCATTTTCGAAGCACTGTTACTAGCAGTGGGGAGATTTAGGCCACAGAGGATCTGGACCGAGTTTTTCAATGCCTTTTACCGTACTTCCCGCTGCGAGATGGTCAAGATACAGAGACTGTATTGCAGCAGTACTGCCACTCATCCGGCAAGCTCTTTATTCATTGTTTTTTTTCTTGTTACATGTTCTACCTTTAGGGACTGTTCATTGGTCCGATCGTAGTCTGGGGTCACCCACAATGCCTGGCGGACCATTGAGCGCCAAAGAGAAAGCACAAAAGCTTCAGGTGAGCTTTGGAATATTCTTACTAAATTTTCAGTCGAAAGTTTTAGGTGTATCTGGATAAGTTCCTTGGTTACTGTACTCATGAGACATCGAGGATTGAATGGAGTGATGAGAAAAAACGGTTCCAATGCGCTAGCTTCATTATCGATAGGTATGTGGTTTTGAAACACATTTTTATTAGGGTTTGGTTATATGTTTAGGGTAAACAATCTATACATTGCTGAATGCTTCTCGGATCTGGAAACCAATGGAGTAGATATCTTTGGAGGCTGGGAAGGTGCAGATGACACTATAGAAGCTCTTGAAACAGCAGATCCCATAGTGATTGCCAGGTGAGCCTACATTTACTTTGCAGCAGTTGGATGTGAAAGTTCATTAGTAGACTCTACATTGGGTTCCAATCTTTTAGGTACTGGTTAATTCGTTGGGTAAATAATTTGGCAGCAGTTCAACAGCTACCAATAGAACAACGCCATGTTGGAGTGCTGCTATACCACGATGCGTTGTTTGCCTCTCATAAAGCGACCAACATGGCGCTGAGTCTAATGAGAGAGGCCATGACTCTTCCTTTGGCATGCAGTAACGTTATACAAAAAGTAAGAAACTAGATGTATGGAGATAGCCGGAGTAATCTATCCTTGTTAGGTTGTGGCAACGCTTTCGGCTTGGTTGTTGCAATATGAAATCCCGCCATTTGTAGCCAGCAATGAGGTAAGTCGTTGAATTCTCTGTTTTAGCTTGAACCAATCGCTTGCAAATGCTATAGGTGCCAGTAGAGACCTCGTCATTGCTTTTGATCAACATGCTATTGTCGTTCTTTCAATCGCCATACCTACTCCAACCGGGCGATCGTCTTCAATCAGCAGTCACAACCTCTTATTCAATACTTCGCGCTTGTCGTGACCTTGCATCTCAACGACTCAATCTTCCCCGACCGCTGTCTGTAAGAGTGTGGTGAGTTGTAGCAAAAAAAAAACGTAATGGGTTTACAAATATCACGATTTTAAGGTCCGAGTTGATGTACCGTCTATGTCAGTCAGCGGCAAAAGTATGCTCTCACTCAGACAAATATTCTCAAGAAATGTCATCGGCATTCGCAATGACTGTACTATCCAATATGGTCGTGATAAAGGTTTTCTTTTAATTCAATAAAGGAGGGACAGTATTTGAAAATGCTTATAAACTTTCTTAGGCTGTGCGCCATAGCGACGTTGATGACAAACTTTGGGATGAGGTCAACAACGTTTTTCTTCACGGAATTTGGATTCAAATGGCTCAGCAGTGGTCTCGAGTGCGTTCATAAATCTTGCCGCGAGGCGAAAAATCATTTTACACACTTTTATTCAGATTTCTAACAGCGTTACTCGAGCCTTAATACTTCATCTTGCTCATGTGGATATCTTCTCCCAAGAAGAGTTGGACAAAGCTGTAAGAGGGTGTTTAGCTCAAATTTCTTTAATTGAATTCACATGCATAATTGCAGAACCAATGTTTTGTGTCTCTGAAGAAGACCGAAATGAATTCAGAAAATGAAGGAGGCGAAGATAATTCGGTTGACACGGATTCTGATGAAAACAGCGCATTTTTAGAGAGTGACGATATCACCAGTGCCGTACCGGTACGCTAACAACTTAAGCTCATAATCTGCACACTTCCATATACCTGTGGGATCACTCATGATTATAGACATGGAATGGAAACCCCACGGTATGGCTACAAGTATGGCGCCGCTTCATGTGTGTTTTAGGTCCTCACAGCGTCAGCTCAGCTAATGCTTTAATTGCAGTAGAAACATTATCCAATACCATAAATCATCTGCTTTCGGTATGTTTTTAATCTCTTTAGATGTAGAGTATAATTTAATGAAAGATCTTGTTCTTGTTTTAT